GAGACAGACCGGCCAGCATCATCAAAAGCTATTTTAGCACCGTCTATGTACATTTGAAGGCCATTAGTATTAGACCACGTGACAGCAACGAAAGACCACGTGCCTAGAATGACTTGGTGAGACACGAACCATGTTTTCGATGCAGAGACCAACTCGAAATACAGTTTACCGCCCATGACATACATAGAGAAACCGCGYACATTTGAACTGGTGGCTCCAGTGTCGATGATATAYCTCTGGTCGATGTAGGAAGATACMGATTCGTCTAAAAATAGCTTTGTAGCTAGCGTAAAGCCGCTGACACATCGCTCTGGATCTATCGCACAGCTTGGCTGCTGTAAGTGACCGCCCAGGAAGTTASTCTTTCCATCGAATATGAGCCCGCCGTCTCCTTTGKTGAATTGACCGTAAGCAGCYAATGGTGTTGCGCCGGGAACTTTCTTTGCTTTGATGGAGATTGTGTTCATGATCCATGCATGTCTGGTGAAAACTGGAGGAGCTACAATCGGAAATATTTGCACTCAGTTTATAATCTAATCYCAAGAAATCCTCCTTCTAATTATGTTTTACATATCACATCAATTGTTAATATTAAACAATAATTTTATTGTATCAAATATTTTTAAAATCATCATTACTTTAATTACCTTTATAAGTCTCAACATCACCAAATGACTCTGAATTGACACCTGTGAAGTTAATTGGTTCAGGTTTAATACATTTTCAATATACAGAACTAAGACAACTTATACGAATGAGACATTGAGGATATACCCTCCTTCCCCATCTGTGTTTTTGTAATAACAGTATGCTCCGTCTGCAATATCAGTCGTATAGTCGTAGTCATAGTCACTAGTCGTCGTCGTTGTTGACATCGAGGTCATAATCACACTCACCGGTCATAGTTGTAATCACAGTCAAAGTTACTTGTCTAAGTCATGGTCTTAGTCAAATTCAATGGTCTTAGGCGTAGTCCTATTCAGTGGTCGTTATCGCAGCTGTAGTTACAGTCATTGTTCGCAGTTGTAGTAACACTCACTGGTCGTAAACGTTATCGTAGTCACAATCACAATCGCAGTCACTGGTCGTAAACGTTGCCATAGTCAGATATGTATAATAGTGTTTATCTTTTTTTGCACAACTGTTTTGATGATTAATTTCCAGTTTTAACAAACCTGTATTGGAAAGTACAGCACGAGTAACGACGTCCTTGGATCGGCTTGCGTGCACCTTAATCCTATCTCTATTGTTTAAATAGTATACACTATTACCAGCTCGATCAGTCGCACTAAATGACACAGATCCTCCTGATTTGGCTGTTTTGACAACGGTCACRATTTCGTTAGGTCGGATGCTGATTCCTTCATTAGGGAGGCCGTCATCYGGTAGCAGTACAGCGGTTACTGGCAAGGGRTTGGCTACTTTGAGAACAACATAGAAGGTCCGGCCTTCGCCCTCTGAACCTGTGKTGCCATATRGAATTKTTTGTTAGTAACGAAGCTTTGAACTGATTTGAGAACTGGGCATGAAGAGAACACATATTCCGCATCCTCGATTAAAAAAAGACACCCCTCCCCTTCAAAAGCCCTCTTTGGAATTCCCTTTTTCTTTGCCCCCATACATACCACGAATCCAGAAGAAGTTTGTAACGGCCATAATATTTCCAGGCGAAAGCAACTTGTTAAACGTAACAAAGGAACCTATACTGAACTCGCAGTAGTARGCTTTGGATGATGCACTACGACCGATGACCAGGTTAGGAGATGCTTGGACWACAGAGAAYTCCTGACCAGGCATGCCTTCTGGTGGTATTGTGGCCGCCAAACGACCATCCATGTATAATAACAAACCGGTTTTTCTA